TTCGTCATGCCAGATACGAGCTTGCGCATATGATGCTGGTGCTATAAAAATAAAATGTTGATTAAGATAAAACTAGAATCATATATTAAGAAACGTAGGTCCTTATCATTTGATTCATTGTTCAGTTTTTCTGATTGTTTTAGTTAATTGATATACTTAATGCTGTTATTATAAAAGATAAATATCATTAGTTAGTCGAAAGGAAGACAATTTATTATATGAGAATATTGAAAAAAAGATCAGAAAGCTCACAACTTTTTATGTTTGATACCATGTTTATTTAATGTGATGTATTTAACTCAACTCGTTTCTATATCCGGAAACATCTAACCGTTATTATCATGTTAATGTTGAATAATGTCACACTCCATTTTATTGTAGATAACATAGATGAAAAAGGCAATAAATGCTTACACGAGTCTTTAGCATCTGAATGAGACCTCTGACGTATCATTATCAAAATATGCGCTTGGATTCTAGAATCTGCTTCTGTATTATCCAAAAATGTGTCAGTAATATTTTTAGTTGTTGCAATCACAGTAAGATGGTTTAGATATGGTTGAGTAAGCTAGACTTGACAGATTATCGATCTAAATATCTTTTTAGTGTATATGTGCTTGAATCACGACTGATGTACACTCAAACCTTAAACAACGAATCGACTCAGACGCAACTTTGATAAAACTGTTCTTAACCGTAACTGCAAGTTTTCTTCAAAATTTACGTGGTTGTGTTTTAGATGGGACTATATAAATTTAAAAATAAATCACAATCTATCTCACATTTAAACAGATACCATTTGCATATTGTCTGGACGATCTTCATCTAACTTGGAAAATCAATTAAATTTTTATTTTATCAGATTGAATGTCAGATTTGAATCAAGAAACTTTTTATCGAAAGTTATACAAGTACTTTGCTAAACTATTTCAGCTTGAAATGTTTTGTTGTTCGAAATAAAAATGAATTTGAATTCTTACTTTATAATTTATTTTCATAAGCACAACAGTAATTTTATGTCTCCGTTTCATACTTGCACGCTTCTTAGTTTTTTTAAGGTAGCAAATTAACAACTTTTTGAAAAGACTGATGGCCTCTTCTTACTTCTCTGAATTATAATTAATGTTAAAACAGTTCTCTTTCGATATTACAATAGTTATATGTTGAATGATTTATTTAAGATTTGGAAAATATAGAAGACTATTACATGATGTAGATGATTTACAATGTATAATTATTAATTACAAGAAGTGAAAATTATTTTTTGTGAGCGCGATTAAAAATCATTGATAAATTTAAATAGTAGTGTGAAAAGTATCATCCATCAGTTAACCCTCAAGCGCTCACCTGGGGTCCACGCGGACCCCAACTAGTTTCATTCTAATGTTTTACATATACGATCGCAAATCATATCACACCACTCTAGATATGCTCTAGTGCAGAGTAGTAGAGTATACCATAGAAAGCATTCGCTTATCTCCTTTAGTCTTCTATAAGATAAATTACCTTAAAGTACATATATACGCATTTTGCCAACCTGGGGTCCAACCGGACCCCAGGATATAACATTAGTTTCTACTTATTATTTGATTATAAATTTTTCGTTTTCATAGTTAATACATTTGTTCGCACATATGAGAGTATTCTATGGCTATCTAATAACTTGTAAAGCATGTCAATGACTTTCTTTTTCAACATACTTGATGTTCGTACTCTTGCTACTTTTGTGGTATGCGCAACCAAAAACTCTCAATGGAATGAAAAGAAAAACTATCGTCGACGTCTATTTCTAATGGAATTAGGTCATGATCTTGTTCAATCGTATTTGGATCGATGACGATATCAACCGCAGGCACTTCAAAAGAACGTTCGAATAGCTATGCAGACAATTGGACTAACAATAACTACTTCACAACCAACTATTGTTTCAACAGCTACTGTCAAGCAACGTTGTCATCTTTGTCCAAGAGAGCGTGATCGAAAGGTTATTACTCACTGTTCAAGTTGCAATGCTCCCTGTTGTCCAGATCATCACATAGTTGTTTGCACGATTTGTAGCGAAACATTTTTAGGATAAAAACGGATTATAAGAAAATGTTTTAAAAATAAAAGATAAAATAACGAAATATAGTTTCTCTTTCATAAGCTACTAAGTCTGTAAGAGGCAAATTATATACCACATAATGCTATCATAGTATACTAGTTAAAATGTGTATTATATCAATCTTATTAGCTTGGGGTCCATGCGGACCCCAGGTGGGTAATAAGTGGTAGTCCTACAGGTGGGCGCTCGAGGGTTAAGCAAAGTTAAAAGAGCCTTATAGCCTTGTTTTCTGTCTTACATATAATGATTCATCCATTACTTTTAGGCATGTTATAAAAATTTTTGATCTAGAAAATACTTCGGAGACTTTCATTCAATAAAACAAGCAAAATCTTTTGGCGTCAGTCATCGTGAATATATTATACATTAGGGATACATCTTGTTATGGATAGTTCAAAATGTTGTCATTATCACCATATGTGTTTGACGTTTTAATTTTTTTGAATACACTCTATCCATCTATATATACTTACGAGGGAAATACCCGAAGTGATAAACAGCTTTTAAACTGATATTTTACCCATAGGTAGGACCTGATAAGACTAGAAAAAGACTAGAAGGATACGGGCCCATAGGCCTTTCTTCCTGAGTTACGGTCATTTTAGTGAATTTTTCACATATGACAAGATATTCATGGAAAAATCTACTTATAGAGTTTGGGTCTGAAACTTTGCCTACATATGGGTCGTATAAGCCTTATCGTACCCTAAAAGTTTCAACCAAAACTTATGTTTCTTTCACGAAATGTTTAGCTTTCAAAAAGCCCTCTTATGCTACATACGTATCAAGAAGATCGACTTTTCCTGAATACCTAGTATTTCGTGAAAGAAACATAAGTTTTGGTTGAAACTTTTAGGGTACGATAAGGCTTATACGACCCATATGTAGGCAAAGTTTCAGACCCAAACTCTATAAGTAGATTTTTCCATGAATATCTTGTCATATGTGAAAAATTCACTAAAATGACCGTAACTCAGGAAGAAAGGCCTATGGGTCCGTATCCTTCTAGTCTTTTTCTAGTCTTATCAGGTCCTACCTATGGGCAAAGTATCAGCCTAAAAGCTGTTTATCTCTTCGGATACTTCCCTCGTTAGAAATAAATTTAAACAAATTACGTGAAAATGTTTACGAAACTTCCATATTGATAACTATGGGAGTGAAGTCTATCCTAACGCATCAGATACAAATCGAAAGACATGGTTTGACATAAAATCGTACCTGGGAGATCTCACATAGTATTTTAGCAATAATTGAGACCAGACAGGGCACAGAATGGATCTATGTGTATTTGAAAACTACACACGAAAGCGTTTAGATCCGTCTATTTCAAGGATAATGTTTCCATGAAACCGATTGGTCATTAAAAATCAAGTTAGCAGTATATTGAGAAACTGAAGATGAGTATTATGGTTAGATTATTCGAACTTAATAATATAATAGTCATCATTATTACAAGTCATGATCTTCCTAACTAACTCTAGATGTATCATATTTCAAGATTGAACAGTAAATATTCAAATAGAAATGAAGATCCTATTCGAATCTACAAATCTTCTAGTAGCAGTGAAATCACAGTACCAAATTGTAGAATGCTATCATATAGCAGAAGGGAACTTTTGTTTCTTAAACACATTATCAGATAAATCGTTTATTGAAAATCCTCTGCTCGTCACATATAGGCTCAGCAAAAAGCATTTTTCTATGAGATTCTGTGAATTTAATTCAATATATGAGATATTATCAAACTATGAGCGCCATATATCCATCAGACTTTCGATTTTAAAGTATTTTGTAGACAAATTATTATTACAAGTTAAGACATACTTTTGTAAAGCATGTCCTTTAGATAAAAAAGTATCTCTAAACAAAAAGTAATATGACAAGAAAAGCCTACCTTCATTTGTAATATTTCTTTGTGGGCAAAACATAATATCTCGCATCTGTTTCATTTCATCTAATAAAATAAGATTAAGTTGTGATATAGATATTGAACATGTGTAGTCGGATTTCTCGATCGAATTTGATAAAAAAATTTGTTCACAAAGATATTTTAATCTTTGACTTAAGGTTATGACTGTTCTTTCATTAAGTAGATCACGTGAACACACAAAAGAACACGATAAATGATTATCATCAGATGATGAATTGTATATAAATGTCAATGAGAAATCAAACTTAGCCATTTCACATGATTCATGTAACGATATTTGTTCTAAACTGACACCATTCAAAGATAAATAATTAACATCTTTTGATACCGTGATAAAATCAAACATTGTTTCAAGAAATGAAAGATTCGATTGAGTGAGATATAAATCACTAAGAATATGTTGAAGTGGATAATGAGAATGTTGAAGAATTGATAAACATTTTTCTTGCACATATTTAACTACTTCATCAAATGACCACTGAGGATCAAGTTCAACACGATATGGTAACGTTGAAACAAACATTCCTATCATATTTACCAATTCACTTCGATATCGATTAGCATTAATAGAAGAAATACATAAATCAGTCTCACCATGACTTAATTTGAATAGAAATACATAAAATATAGATAATCCAAGTTGAAAGAGTGTGAGATGATGTGATGATGCATAGTTGAGAAATGATGTACATATTTCATCATCAAAAGTGATTTGTGCTGTAGAAGCTAAACCTGATCGTTGCTCAGTCGACGAACGTTGTCGATCAACAGGTAATGATAATTGACGTGACAGATTATACCCTTTGAGTTCTGATAGCCAAAACTCTTGAGATAATGCCATATTCATTATGTGTTCATAAACAGAATAGTCGATATATTGTAAAAAATTATCATCTATAGGTAGCAACTCATTAGATTGATAAGCAAGAGAAAGATCATGAGTGAAGATTGATCTCGATGCCCCATCAAAACAAGCATGATGAATAGTAAATAAGATTAAATCATCTTTAGACAATAGATCATTATTCTCAGGCAATGAACCATTTGATTGATCACGACGAAGAATATGACAATTAATAACATGTCCTTTTGATAAATCAAACAAGTTTGATTGACTCAAAATCTTCTTTACAATTTCATTCTGCTCGTGTTCTTCATCGGGGAGATTAATTATTGAAAATCTAGATGATTTCTTATCATTGATAATAGTATTTGCAGCTAAACAATTTTGCACAAGAACACCATTCATATCAAGATGGATTGCTGTTCGAAGAACTTGATGTTTTAAAATGACAGATTGAAATGCATGTTGTAATCGTGAAATAGATATATGATCATTCATAGATAAGATGTGATACATCAATGGAATAACATACATGTTAGTATTATTATCGGTTGATGAGAATCGAATCTGTTCATCTAAGAAGATGCGTTCTTGTGCAAATGATGATTTAGCTAAAAGAGAGAAATAGAATATAGTTAATAGAATATTCTTGCACATTCTGTATTACCTTTTATGGTATATAATGAAAACCAAGAATAATCATCAAGAGTGTGAATGATATTGATAGATTGTTGAATGAGTTGAGCATGATCGATAATTGTTGGATGTTGAAATAGACTACTAATAGAAAGAGAATTTGTTTTGAGATGAAATTGAGTTTTGTATCGGTGAAAGAGTTGCATGATCACAAGTGAATGACCACCAAGACTGAAGATACCAGTGTCAGTTGAGATTTGTTTTTGTTTGAATATCTCACACCAAATATGATGAACGGTGATTTCACTTTCATTCTTTGGTAACAGTAGTTCATCATGATTAGTGAGATGTATTGATGAAAAATCAGGTGGAGGAA